TAGGTTTATATTGTATTTTATTTATATTGTACGTCGGAGTTGATGATCCCCAGCCTAACTGGCAGCCTGACTGGCACAAAGCTTGAGAGCTTATAAGGGGATGTAGGCCAAGATGGCCTGTTTATATTATAGTTTAACGTAATGTCGCAGTTGATGTTCCCCAGCCTAACTGGCAGCCTAACTGGCGCAAAGCTTGTAATGAGAGCTTATTTGGGGAAGTAGGCCAAGATGGCCTATTTATCTTATAGTCAAATGTAATGACGGAGCTGATGTCCCCCAGCCTAACTGGTACCAAGACTGATTGCTTACTCGGAGAGGTAGGCCATATATTTTGTGTATTAATTAAAGTGCTGTATCCCACCAGCCCTACTGGCTCTAGCAAATGACTTGTACGTGTGGAGATAGCTTTATCCTTGGTTGCTTTTCAAGGATTTGTCATGTAAATTGCAAATTGTTTGTGTTATATCGTATTCGGGTTTGTTCTCGCCAGGCCCTCCCAAAATAAACTTGTTTGGTTCAGCGATGCTGTATTGTTATTTGTTGTGGAGTGGAGACAAAATATCAATATATTGGAAAGAATGGCACGAAGCTGGCGTACTAAGAATCAAAGACTTACTAGATGAAAACAACAGATTTCTTACACTTGATAAATTTCTTTTGAAAACTGGTCTCAAGGCTCCTTTTACTAAGTTATATTAAGTTCTTACTTACTTACTTATATGGTTTAATATCAGCTATACCTTACAGATGGAATTGCGCTTTGAGACCGGGATTTATCATGGACAATCAAGATATGGAACAAAATACAACCATAGTAATTAGCACAACTACTAGTAAAAAGGCTCGCAATATAATTATTCAAAGGAAATATGTAGAACCGCTAGCTAACAATAGACTTTGTAGACAAGGAGTAGAGAGTTCCAAGCCTAGTGCAATTCATATGCTTCCATTTAAAACAACTAAAGAAACAAAATTAAGCATATTTCAATACAAGATTATTCATAATATTCTTCCACATGGTGTATTGTTTACCTTTAGACATAAAGATGTTAACTAGATTTTATTTTTCTCACGAATTTATTAAAAGAATCGAAGAAAAGAAAACCGACTTGAATCTCCACTGGTTTTCCTTGGTTGATTTTTTTGCGAGACAGTAACGCAATTTATTGCTGTCTTTGGTCCATTTTCGTGATCTTCTCCAAGAATTTTTTTTATAGGCTTTTGGAAGCCTTTTAGTTTGAAATGTTCCATAGTGCATAATCTAAACTTACTTACAGACACTTGTGACGTGACGTGTCACTCCAGTTTAGCTTCACCGCTAGGTCCTGTCTTGACAAAGAAATACCGTAGATACAAACGATTCACGGGCTTGAAAACGAGAAAAAGAAACGACAAAAGACAAAGCAAAATTATTTCTGACCAAGAATTTAGTCTTCATCGCTGGTTCCCTGGGAAAATTATCATTCCATATATGTGAATACATTATAGCTTTAGGTGACCCCAATCATTAGGTTCCCTGTAGCCAGCTAGTATTAAACAATGTATAGTTGGTAAACGAGTTCTAATACCGGAAGTCTATGTTCTGCGAAAGGGAAAGATCAGAAAATTCCCAGTGGTTACTTGGCTGTGCCGACTGTTCATTGCAATTTCATTTCCTTTAGTCTTGTAGCCAGAATGATCAAAATCGTGTGAGTGTTGGGTGTAGGAAGGGTCCGAGGGATTTGGGGTAAAAGAGCCGAAAGAGTTTACCTTGGATTAAGTTACAATTTCAGACCAAAATTGATTCTAAAAACTTAGGTGCAATTGATATTACCTCAGTTTCATCTCAGTGTATTTGAGTGAGACATATTTTCTTCTAAAGTCCCACCATGCGACACCTTTCTTATCATTTTTATCGCCCAGGTATTTTCCGTTTAGATTGGACATGTGGCAATTGTTGTACCACCAGGCGCCTGTACGCTGCATAGCACAGTTCCTGCTACCTCTGTCATTATCTCTATCTTTTGTACTAAACGCCATTTTATTATGCCATGCTAACGAATCTCCCGCTGTCCCTGAATATGAACCCACATCAAGTCGATACTGCGCCTGCTCATCACCAATCTTGAACTTGCCATATTTGGCATACGCTTTACCTCCGTTCCAGTCCTCTAGCTCCACTCGTAGAGAACTGGGTCTAGTGGCCGTCAGCCTGTGGATCTTGTCGTTTCCTAACCAGAACTCAGCAGTCAGCTGACCAAAGCCTGCTTTGTAGCCGCCCCATCCCCGATAGAAGTCTACCGAGCCATCCTGTCTTCGTTGAAACACGGTCCAGCCTCCACCGTCAGTGCGCATGTCACAGTAGACACTGAAGTGTCCTGTACCGTCTGGGTTGATAGAGTACACTCCACTCTGAGTATAGCCTGATTTTAACAGATCTGAACAATCTGACAAAATACAATAAACGCAGCGACTTCAGTTTAATTTTTAGTTCTTTTTAAAATCACATAACTAGTTTATGTGGCTCACTATGAAAACGAAACCTAATAGGTACTACAATTTGAAACAAATGTGAAATTTTAAATGAAAAACCCTAAGCCACTCTAAAATTGTGTTTTCAACCATTAACAGGTACAACGAGGTTCCTCTGCAGCGCCATACAGGGATTTAATTCCCCCACAGGAGTAAGCCCTGCCTTGTGTAAACGTACTAACATTGGAAATACTAGTGGTAATCAAAGATTATGATTGCTTTCTTCCCCGTCATTTTAAAACATATACCTTAAATGATTTCACTAGCTGACTTTCAACCTTTGTCCATTGTTAAAATCAACATTTTTCATCAACAACCGAGGTTTTACAGACAAATATATCATAGTGTTAAAGTCCATGCCAATGAAAAGGTCCCCTATATAAACCACGATTGGTTGATACGTTGCGTGACGGCGCCAGTTCCCGTAGACTCACGAAAATGTTTACATTATTTCGTGCTAAATATTTTCCCATTAACTGGTAATGTATAAGCGAAAAGGTAATTTGTATAAGTATATTTGTTTTTGTACATTATCCTAAGCTGGAAGCACAAATATAAGCAAACATTTGCAATCGCGTGCTTCTTTATCGTAAACAAACTCTCTGCGACTGATTCGAATGATGAATAAAAGTAGACAGTCTTTGCGCAGATGACGTATGACATATGACATATGACATATGACGTCATTCGAAATGCCGATGTTTGACAAAAAAGTCACCCCTGAAACCACAGGACACCCAAAATTATGAACTGCGTTCTGCGAACGCAACATTCTCGTCCCCAGAGGCCGCGCTCCTTTTGGTCAGCACCAATTCAATTTCAATTCAATTCTGTTTATTTACCGAGAATCGAGACCTCTGGGAAGGTCCAATTTTCTGAGCATGCGCAGAGTAATCGTTTTGTATTCTCACCCAATCAGATTTGCAGACTTGACTCTGAGCGTGCGCAGAGTGACGGGAAGTCTGTGAATCACGGACTTCCGGTGTTGGACCTTCCTAGAGGTCGCGATTCTTGGTGCTGACCCAAAGGAGCGCGGCCTCTGGGGACGAGAATGCGAACGCAATAAAGTAAACTTGTTAAGACTGGCTGACTGTTACGATCGAGAAACGCCGGTCAACGTCCTATTTGACAAATCGCTCATATTTTGCCCAAAGATACCCTTAGGTGACCTAATTCGAAAAATCATATTTAAAGGTTCCAACGAATTTTTATTTTTCAGAAATTCGCGAAAATTTGAAAGCGCGGTCAAAGTGCGGTTTTTCGTGGAATAAAATGACCGAAATAAAGTGCGAGGACGAAGCGCTGCTTAAGTCTTAAAATAAACTCAATTGACTTTAAACTTCACACAAATGTGGAACAACCACTCTAATTTATTCCTCGCTTTAAACTAATCTCAGATATGTTGATATAGTGGTTTTTCGAACCATTTTAAAAA